CAGCACTAAGGTTGGGAAAAGCTGCTGCAACATCACTTCGTAGCTTTCTCCTGCAATGATGAAACCACAAATGGGTCACAAAGCTGTTCTAGGCCCTCAGAATAATTCCTAGCTCAGTAGTTATCATTTGCTGGTTGTTCCTGAGATTCCCACCTTTTCGCAGATGATAATTTGAGGCATCTGTGCCCAGGATTACAAATGAGGTAGCTGCATGGTGGAGGAATACAGGAAAAAGGCCCAGTATACTTGCTCTGCTCATATCTTCCTTAAACATCTGCTTACAGCTCCTGTTTGCTGTCTCTGCCTCTGTTTTGTGCTGTGATTTCATTACTCTGAGCTCCCGAGCACAAACCCTGGGAGCGCCCCACTTGCTCAGCCCCATCACCCAGGGCCACAGTGGGAGCAGAGGGCAGCCAGATTTCCCTGTCTCCCAGTTTTAATTGGTGTTTAATTGGATTTCAAGGCTACATGACCGGCACAGGGTGGGTTTGTGTGGTCACTCCAAGAACCGTCAAGTGAATCTGAGCCATCACTAAGTCAGCCCAGCATCGCTGCTCAGGAACATAAAGCAGAATTACAGAATCCCAGAATGGTTTGGATTGGAAGGGACCTTAAAGACCATCTTTCCACCCCCTGCCATGGGCAGGGACACCAGCCCAGGTTGTTCCAAGCCCCTTCCAACTTGGCCTTGGACACTCCCAGGGATGGGGCAGCCACAGCTTCTCTGGGCAACCTGTGCCAGGGCCTGCCCACCCTCACAGGGAACGATTTCTTCCCAATATCCTATTTAATTCTACTCTCCTTCCGCTTAAATTCATTCCCCCTCGTCCTGTCGCTCCATCCCCTTACCCAAAGCCCCTCCCCAGCTCCCTTGCACCCCTGTATGTACAAAAACCCGCCATAAACAAGCAGAGAAGCCTCATCTAACCGTAACGACTCGATGAAACCTGCTTTAACCACGGCACCACCTCCACGCGGAACGCACCATCCCCGGCCGGGAGTTTACAGCGAGCAGGGAGGCGAAAGCAGCGTCTGCCGGGGGTGGAAAGCAGAGCCGCCCGCAGCCCCCGATCGCAGCCCCCGATCGCAGGCCCTTTCCCGGGGGGTCCCGGCGCGGCACTCACCGGTCGGAGCCCTTGATGGCGGTGTTGGCCCTCACGCGGAACGCCCGGGCGAACATGGCGGGCCCGTCCCCCTCAGCCCGCGGCGGCCGCCATGGCGCCGTCCGCGCCCACAAAACCGTCCGGCTGGAAACGGGCTCCGGGCTCCAGAGCGGCCCCGCAGAGCCCTCCCGGCTCCCCCCCGGCACCGTGAGGGGGGTCCCCGGTGCCCCGTTCCCCGCGCGGAGCCCCCCACGCGAAATGGGGGGGGGGGTGGGTGGGTACGAGCCCCGAGCCCGCGGGGCTGCTCGGAGATCCGGGGTTGGGGGGGGGGGGTGGAGGGGGAGTTGTTTTGTTCTGAAACTTCCAAGCTGTTTTCTGTTTAAGGTGCTCTTAATAGCTGGGCCGCTCTCGCTGCGATTTGCTGGACTGTCAGCGATTGATTGATTCATTGACTGATTGATTGATTGATTGATTGATTTCCAGCGCGAGGTTAAGGAGCGTGGAGCAGTGTTACAGCCTTCACGGGATCGCAGAGCCACTGAGGCTGGAAAAGATCTCAAAGATCACCGAGTCCACCCCGTGCCCGATGCCCACCTTGTCCCCCAGCCCAGAGCACTGAGTGACCCGTCCAGTCCTTCCTCGGACACCTCCAGGGATGGGGACTCCACCACCTCCCCAGCCAGCCCTTTCCAGTGCCTGACCACCCTTTCCAGGGAGAATTTTTCCCAAATATCCAACCTAAACCTACCCCCGCACAACTTGCGGGTCTTTCCTCTTGCCCTGTCCCTCGTTCCCTGGGAGTAGAGCCTGACTGGCCCCCTCGGTTCCACCCTCCTGTCAGGGAGTTATAAAAAGTGTGAAGGTCACACACCCCACCTTATTATTAATTTATTAATTTAATAAAGGTTTGGTGAAGTATATACACTCCGTTGATTATCATGGCTAGGCTTCGCGAATGAAGATTTGAGAGGGGCTCTACCCACGCTTGCTACAAGCGCGCTGATGGCTAAAAAGGCCAGTGAGAGACAGACAAGTCCGGTTGCAGAACGTACAGCAGAAAGACTCCCCAGGTGATATCGTCAAGACGCGATTCTTTCTGCGTTGTCTTTTCTCCTCCAGAGTGATCCTGCGTGTGTTCTCAGAAGCATCAGCAGATGGTCCTGCATCCTGGAGACGTGCCCTGCCCAGCACAGCTGTGTTCTCAGCAGCATGGCCTCAATGCTCGGGACTGCTGCCTGTTCAAGGACAGACGTGTTGGAAACACAATCCGTCCAGTGGATGTTGAGGATTGTACGAAGGCAGCGCTGATGGAAGCGTTCTAAGAGACGCAAGTGGTGCCGGTAAATGACCCACGATTCAGAACCATATAGAAGAGTAGACAGCACGATGGCTCTGTAAACACTGATCTTAGTACTTTTCTTCAGGTGTTTGTTTTGCCACACTCTTTTACGGAGTTTACCAAAAGCTCTGTATGCCTTTGCTAAC